CACTTAAGTCTGTTTCTGTATAATTATATAAGTTTAAGCCCTTCTATTCCAGTTTACAGTTTCCTTCTCCAATATTTATTTACTCGAACTCGATAGTTTCTGGTCCGATTTTCTCTATGATATTCAGCCACCTAGCACCTGATGAGTTGACAAAATACCCACTTCTTGTCGGTTTTTTTGTCGCTGTGCCGACACCGCCCAAGCGCCGACTTCCCGTGGCGCCCTCTCCGGTCCATGAGCATCACCACAATTGAATTAAATCCGCTGTTCCGTCCGAATCGGGCCCAACTTCACGGCTGTGGCCGCGAACGTGTCTGTAAAGAATGAAAATGGGCATTCGTTCCGACCATTAGTGGTGTGCGGCCGTCGAAGAGAGACTTCTCTCCTCGTATAATGACGGCCACTCTCCAGTTTTTAATTCTTTTTGTGTAGCTGTGCGTGTCTTGCTAGCGACGAACAGGCGCCAACTTTTCATTATACTGTTGATTAAAGCGGCAGTGTTTGAGGTTCCGACCCTCGCCGTTTCGCGGGTCCTTTGCCACTTGGTTACGTCACACCAGAGCGCAATTAAGGCCTCATCACGACGGCTAATTAGAAAATGCCGCCGAGAGTTACCCGAGTAGGATGGCTAGTAATTGAAGAAAACTGACCGCCTCGGGTTACTACCCCCGGGGGTGGCGTTGTGGCGGTGGTCATCGGATTTCGATGAGGAAAAAACGACTAATGATGGTTCTTGCAGTCGTTGGGCTTTCATGGTAAATTTTAGGGTGTCGTGTGGATTAGAGAATGTCGTGCAGAAATGACGGCGTAGCGGTTTTTTCGGTTTGAGAAATTTAACATGTTTTTATTGAAGCTTGATGGCGATGGTTATGTCATACTTATCATCATCGGATTAGGTCGAGCATGAACTGATCATGGTGTTTTTGTGATGAACGCTTCGGGTGGTAGTTGGTCATCTACACTCTGAACAAAAATATCGAACGCCGAGAGCTGAACAGTGCGAGCGAAGCTCTGGTCACGTCATGTATACTAAAAGCTGCTGGTTTATTAAAGTCGAATAGCCACTGAATTATGTGCTCGATTTGTTCCTAATAAATAGAATAAAGTTGTTTAAATTGAATACAGTACTTACTTGCTTCTTTACGTGTCAATATTCATCGCTGAAACGTCTTCATAATCTAATTGTCTGATTTTAGACGTGACAAAAGTATTTCCCTAGTAATTATGGTGTTGGTGGATCTTTAATAAAAAAAAATTACGTTCTATTTTTAAAAATTAAATTTGTCGTCACTTTTTATGACTCAGGTACCTTATCTGCCTTAAATATATATTACACTACATCCATATCAATAAATCAAAATTCCAAATTTTTAGTAATATACACAGTTGCCAAACAAGAACCAGACCTCATTTTTACATACTTATATAAACCCCGTCATTCTTTTTTCAAACAATCACCTATGTTGGATGTTATTTGTACAATTTATTATCTGAATGTTTCAGATATATTTCAGCAAAAGTTTTATTTAAGCAATGAATAAAATCTTTCCTTGTATACAAAACACAAAAGTGATGGAAGTCTTCCGAAATATACTGCGTAATTTATGGTTTATCTATTATATTAATATGTGTATCGAAGTCTCTTTATCGTATTCTTTATATATTTGATGTATTTCGATATATTATTTCAAATTTGACTCGCCAGATTCTGTATATATTTAACATTCAACGTTCTAGTTGAACAGCAATCCCTACATTTGCAGATTAGAAGGGTTTAATCTCGTGTGGTAAAAGTGAAATCCATGAAGTGTTTTACATTTTCAGATGTTGTCTTTTTAATTGTGTGAAATACTTCGACGTGATTTGTTAGGCCCAAGATGGAGTTAAAATCTCTTTCTTATAATGAGATTAAATTGCTCTATAAATTGGTTAGCTGTAATAACTTTTTTCCATTTTTGTTCTTTCATATCTTAATCTTCCACTTTACATCACTGAATAAACGCGACGTTGCAATATTCTTTTTACCGGTTTCCTTTGATAAGATGCTTTCATTTTGCGATGTGATTCATGCAAAGTTGTGTCGTTCTGATTCCGAACAGTTATAAATGCAGACACTTTGCTTTTTGTTTTGACATATAAGTTATAAATGTGAATTTAATTAACGCGACCATCAGCCTCGAGCTTCCTCTCTACGCCCATGACGAGACAATCCTATTTTTCCAATCAAAGATGCCATCAGCAGCCGTATTAGTCGCTCCACTAATAACAAGCTACCTTATAGACGATAACGGCTTGTCAAGATTCTACAACCTCTCGCATCCATCTAAGCACGAATCGCTCCCTCAATCCGTACAATTGACTCTGAAAAATATTATTTACCATTAGAATCTGCATATGTGACAGCAATAGGGGCTATTCATATTGATGAAATAGCACATATCGGCAAGTTTTTGTACACGCTATCATTACCCATCAAGCTAATCGCAGGTAGTAGTTAGTGATGATGTATGTTTTCCGCAACCAACGCTATGGGCACGATTGCGTATTTTTATGGTTGTGGAACACGCTGACTTACGCATTCTGCTTGCTCCATTAGCTGTCTAATTGAAAGCGCAGATTAGGCACTTTCACTCAGGAAAATCCATAACTGTATCCCGGGATTATTTTCATCACATCTCAGAGTGCAGTTTTCGATAGACAACCTAGGTTTTCGTGTTGTACACTGCGGAACATGAAATTAGACATTCCCAGTTACAATACTTTCTTTAGCTATCGGTCGGGATGTAAAAGCGCGTCTTGGCGTCTTCTTGGTCGATATCTTGGCCGCCAATCACGCTGCCACTGGGCGTCGCCGACCACGTCTTGCCGCATTGTGTCCGACCATCACTCAAGGGTCCTCTGAAAGCCCTCGGCAATCAAATCATAAAAGCGCATAATGGAAGAAGCTACTACTGGACCCGGCTCTTCGAAGGTCACCCTCTTGTTAATTACTTCCTAACTGGAACGGCTGTGAGAACTTTTCGGCCATAACTCAAAATATTAATCGATACGGAGTTATTTAGTGCGATGTTGTGTGGTCGGGCTGGAGATTTGGGATGGGAGTTGTGTGTTGAATTTACATTGAATTCAATTGATGGGCAGAGAAAGAGGGAATTGAAACGTCGGACGTCTTTATTTCAGGAGATGATATCGAGAATTTTGATGTCCTGGGGCGTATGGTTATGCTTTCGTAAATGCTTCTCGAGGAAAAAATTCTTGCTTTGTTTTCTCTACATAAATTCTCGAGTTTTTTTACTCACGCATCCGTTCTGCAATTTCGTGTAGTTTTTTTTTTTATTTCACTCTGCCAGTTGTTTTTTGGTCTCTCCACTACTTACTACATATATACACTTATATTTTTTCCAAAGTGGCCAGAACTCATTTTCTTCTCTTCTTGCCTCGTCACAGTAACAAAACAAAAAAATCCCTAGACAAAATAACTCCGGCAAAAAAGCCCCGCGACAAAATAAATTCATCAAAAAAACAGTTTTTGTTTTATAAAACACCATTTTTTTAATGATGTATTTTTTTGGTTTTGTTTATCTATATTTAAACTAAATCTAAAAGTTCACAACTGTTAAATTAGTAGTTTCAGAGTAATAAAAATATCAATAGACCACAGGCAACAAAAATAGACGCAACGGAAAAACTACTTTCTCATATTCTAAGATTTATGAAACGTCCAGAAAACATGAAATTACAAAACATACATATTTACTACCTTATTTTCGTGAAGTAAAAAGAAATTAAAAAAAAATACAAGTATACTTACAACACTACATCAGTACCTAGTAAAATTTTATTGGTATTTCAAAGTTAACCATGAAGGTTGAACCCACAAAACCATAAATTACAAATTCAATGCAACCCTGGATGTTTTTAGCCCACTATACACTGGGGGCGCGCTCCTTTTATTGGCATCATTATCCCTTTGCATTGTCCGACAATCTCTCAAAGTAGCGGTTGTAAAATTTTACTAGGTACTGATGTAGTGTAGTAATTGTATAGGTATATGCGCTAGCACAACTAGCAATATTTCGGAAAAAGTGCTATTCGATAGAAAAAATATATAGGTATATTAACGAACATTTGATAACATGTCGCGCGAAGAAAAGGGACAGTCTTGACAGTTAACTAAGTACAACTTTTTAAAAGACTACATGGCAGAAACGGAATTTGTTGGACTGTATTTTAGGGGCGAGAGAAGTTCTGTCGAACTAACTTCCGACCATTTTATTTCCTTAAATTCTCGTATCACCTTGGTCAAAAAACCTTAATACATGAGTAATTTCCTTGACGTTAGAAACCTCGACAAAAATCTTGGCAAACGTTTCAAAATTGAATTGAACTTGTGGGAGTTGTTTTTTCATTGTGAAACAAGTGTATGTGAAAAGAAAACTACATATTTATTACATGCCATGTTGTGTATTCTGGCAAAATTACAACGAAAGTGGAAATCATTCATAGTCCGTGGTAATTTATCCTTTTTTCTGTATACAGCCACCCACAAGACAACAAAATAAATCATTTATTCACTGTATAGTACATATACTTACAACAGAGCTAAAACTGTTTACTAGGTTCAAGTGTTTACTTAAAAAAAATCTCTGGTTTATCACACAAGTTTATAAATCTAAAGATTTGAACTGATGTCACGAAACCAAAATAATCCGCCAAAATCAAAGTAGTTAATCTAAATCCAACTTTTTTACTAACCAGAAGAGCTTAATATGCTTTGCTTAATTCTATATTTTTTATAATGGATATCCAATTAAATTAAATTTTGACAAAGTGAAGAAAAAGTGTAATTTATTAACCATCAGGGAAGATCAAGACTTCTCAACCCTTCGGCCTTATTCCTTTCTAATTTTCGCTTTCTTCTTCTTCTGCTGTACATTCACATCTATTGTACGAATCTGTAGGTTCCTAATTTTTCTACAACGTATCTCTTTTTGTTCCAGGAGCACCCCAGCCTGCGCGGCACCCCTTTGGCGATGCTCGCGGCGCAATGTAACAAACTCTCCAGCAAGTCGCCACCGCCCCTCGCCGACGCCGCCGTGGGAAAGGGCTTCCATCCCTGGAAAAAGAGTCCCCAAGGTGCTCCGTCGCCCGGCAGCACCGGCGTCTCGTCCTCAAGTTCCTTACCTTCGCAGAGAACATCCTCATCCAACCCCACCTACTCCAGCAGATCCGTGATGACCTCTTGCTCAAGCGTCCCAACCACAGCCTCGTACGGCAGCGACCTGTACTTTCCGGGGGCCACCTCACAGCCGGCTGTTGCAGACAACTCCCACGTGCACCACCACCAGACCTCGCTGCTGGGCAAGGTGGAGGGCGCCGCCACGGCGCACCACCTCGGCTCGGTCTACTCGAGGCACCCGTACGAATCGTGGCCCTTTAACACGATGTCCAGTGCCACACACCACGGAGGCATTAAAAGCGACTCCGTGGCGTCGGCGAACGCCTGGTGGGACGTACACTCGACCGCCGGCAGTTGGCTCGACATGAGTGGGGCGGCGGGAATGCACGCCCAGATGGCGGCGAACTACTCCACGGACTACTCGAGTTTGACGCATTCGTTGGCGGCTTCCAACCATTTGTTGTCGTCGGGGCAGCACCTGCTGCAGGATACGTACAAGAGCATGCTGCCGGGGGCGCAGACCGTGGGGGCGTCGTTTGGACTGCATGCGACAGGATCCGCGCCGTCGCCCACATCGGGGGCAGGAGGACTCCCACCGCAAGTACCGTCCCCAAGGTAATTAGAGCTTGTTTCGTCTTGGGTGGGTTTTGAAAAAGGTTCTTACAATTTGTGGTAAAAACATAAGAGCAACACGTTTTTAGCAAAAAAGCTCTCCAGCTTCGGCAAAATTTTTGGCAAAAATTTATTACTGCAGAAGTTCGTGGTAGAATTCGATAGGAATTAGTGGAGATTCTCTTATTTCAAAAATTACTTTACGTATAAATGTAAACGTAGAAACTACAGTTTTACTATCCCATCTGGGATATTTTTCATTTGACCATTGCACAAAGTGATACTAAGAAATTAAGTTAAATTTTGTGTTGACATTTACAATAATTTTAAAATGCTTGATGCTTTTGACATGTCTGACATTTTGATATTTTCGTAATATTATATTTTTTTGACGCCAGTTGGAATTTAATTTCATTTAGTGAGAGAATTGAGTAAAACTGAAATACAATTCTACCTCAAGATTCTTTTCCAAGATTCTTTAAACGGGTGAAAACATGTGTTGTGCTGTATGTATTAAACCAAGACAAATCTTTTAGTCAGTGGCGGCTCGTGACCTTTTAAAATGGGGGCACACAATTTGATTGATGAGTCAAATATGAAGCTTTAAAACAGATTGTTATTACCAATTAATAAGTAGACGAAATTGTGTGACGCAAATAATACATTCAATAAAATTAAAAAAGTATTTGTCCACATACCTTTGGTTTTAACTCATTACTGAGGAGACACACATAATACGAAACAATTTATTATTTTTTTCACAACCGTCCATCCACAAAAATTGATCATACTTGTTCTGTCTATGAAAATATTTATGAATATCTCTCATTTTGCCATGAACACTTTTTTTATTTATAAATCGGGGATGGCTCTTCCTAAATTTTTCACTACAATTTTATCGTCGTAAGACAGAGCACGATTTTTTATTAACTATTCAACCGAATTCATTATTTTTATTTAAAATCAAACAACTTCACTCGCGCAGAATGAAAATGAACTCCCGTAATTGAATTACTACCAGCGGTCTCTGTTTCAAATGTGACCCGATTTCTGCCAAATACAGCAACTAGAGGTGCGGTTTCCATGACAACGATGAGTCATGATTTGGCTTTCGCTTTTATCGAAACCTTACCAACGATATATCCAAGACACATGTAAGTTTTGATACATTTGATACAAACTTCAGGATAATTTTTTAAATGTTGAAAATCAATATTTTGGTATGTCCAATGTGTTTGAAGACGTTGTAATTTTGGGGGCACGTGCCTTTGTCTTTTCGATACTGCAGAGGGCTCAGACCTGTTAAATTTAACTTTTCTGTATAACTATAGTTGTTTTTAGCAATATTTAGTTTCTACACCAAAAAATTCACAAATCCATTAGGCGGTACTGGAATATTATCTTGAGAATTTTTTTGATGAAAGTAATAATTTTACATTTGTCAAAATTTAATAAAATAATATTTAACTCACACCACCTAATCAAACTGTTAATATCCTTCTGAAGTTTGAGGCAATCATCTTATGTATTTATACTGTGATAAATTTTAAAGTCATCGGCGAAGTACGTAAGTAAGGACAGTATTGAAATTGGTGAGAAATACTATTAATAAATATCAGAAAGAGAACTGGATCTACCTTGTGGAACTCCTGATGTGAATTTGAATGATTTTGATAGACATTTCTTAATACCGCCTGTCTGGAAAATGGCGGATTAACTTTTCAGTACGTTATACACGGGGGTTTCGGGAGTCCCAAAAAAATAATAAAAAAATTCTTTATGATGTACATTACGAAAAAAACGTAATTTTGTAAAAGTAAAATTGGCAACACTGCACACCTAATGTGTGAATACGTCCGGCTTACTTTCTGGTTTCTTAGTAACGGTGGTGACTGAAATCCACCTTCGCTTTATATCAGGCAAACATTGTTGTCAAGTGGAATTTTATCAAATTATTACAAAAACAACACAGTCATATCTTTGTGCAGTCTGACTGAAATGGTAATTAAACATGGTCATGGGCGAGAAAAATATTAACTAAAAGTTTTATTAGTAGTTATTCTGATAATGAATGAGCTGTTTAGTTGTTAAACGTAGCAAAAGAAGCAATTTTAAAATCATTATAACTCCACCAAAATGTGAAAACGATTTTTTTTACTATTTTTCCCAGACTCACCAGTAGATTGTTAAAAGCGTAGCGGAGAGTTAATCCGCCATTTTCCAGACACCCGGTATTAACAGCCTGTGGGCGATTTGAATCGAATACAATATTTTAGCTACATTCCACGTTGGAAACACAATCACTGTTTGGAAAGTACAGTTCAAATAATTCGTCTTCATTAAGGTTGTTGTCATAATGGCAGTAAACTGACTTAAAGAAATCAGCACATAAGTCGGCAGTACTATCAATGTTAGTCGAGACTTTTATTGATTTTATTATATGTACTATTTCTAAAAATTGGTCCAAGGTTACTTCGACAGAACTTCCCTGACCCTGGAAGTATTATTTTTATTTACCATCAAACAATTTTACTCGCGCAGAATGAAAATTAAAACCGGCAATGGAGTTACCACGGTTGGGCACTATCGCGGTAGGACTGGCTTGCACTCTACTATCACTATCGCACACACCGTTTCCATGACAACCGTGTAAACAAAACGTCTAAATTGGCCATGGTCGGTCTTCGGCTTTTCTCAGTACTTCAACATATCATATATCCAAAACACAACATCTTTAGATGTAAATTTTGATACATTTTATACAAGTGAAGCGAGATAAAAAATTAGTTTTGATAATTATGACACAAATTTATGGATAATTTTTTAAGTATTGAAAATTACTATTTTGCTTTGTTCAGTGTGTTTGTAGACGTTTAAAATATAGTTCATTGAAATAACGTCATCAAATTGTTGGTGGGAATGATTAACAAAGTTTTGGTTAGCATTTAACCACGTACATGATATTTCTAATATACATACAAAATTTGACAGCAATCAGTCCAGCAGTTTCGGCGATTACGTGTGTCATAAAAATTGATACAGACACCAGACGGACAGACAGACGGAAATGGGAAACTACTTTTTTCGTACTGTAGGGGTTATGAAACGTCGAGAAAATATAGAAGTGGCAATTCGTCCGATGGACTCGATTATACTATATGTATTTCCTTAGCTTACGTTCGGGAAGTAAAAATGAAATTCAAGTAAACTTCTGAGATGAAGCGAAAAAGTTTTGTCAACAAAGTAAACGAACTGTTTTAATAACAAAAAAACAACAGAAGTTAACACACCCATGACAAGTAGAAGTAAAATACTCAATATTATAATATTAAGATGTGCAATTGACTCAAAAATGACCAACATTCAGGCAAACTTTCTATCATTGTGGGTATGTAGTATGTACAAAGACCAAGCTTCCCGTGCGCTACGAGTGATCATGGATTCATATATCTCCATGACCTTCGGGACTCTGATCTAGCCTACTTGGTTATTATTAATCAATATGAGTCCAGTGTTCGAAAAGATTACCAATTTATCACATGTTAATTATTATTATTATTAAAAAATATTAATGATTCCTACACGTCATGACAAGCTACGAAATAACTATTAAAGATAAAACTATTAAATTATATGTAATTAGTAGGTGTTGAAGTATTATTTATAAATAATTAATTAAAAAAATAAGTAAATGTTGCCGCATTTTTCTGAAGGATTGATCCGAACTATCGAAAGATTCCACACCTGTATATCCAAGCATAATAATTATTGTAAAAATGTCAAACATTATAATATTAGAGATTCGAAGTATTTTCAATTTGCAAAAGTGTACTATAATTAACATAATACTTGTTCGCTTGTGTACAGTATACGTTTTTCTGTTTCAGGTCACAGCGTCGATACACCGGACGCGCCACCTGCGACTGCCCGAATTGCCAAGAAGCCGAAAGACTGGGACCTGCAGGCGTCCACCTCCGCAAGAAGAACATCCACAGCTGCCACATCCCCGGTTGCGGGAAAGTGTACGGGAAAACGTCGCACTTGAAGGCGCACCTCAGGTGGCACACCGGCGAACGGCCCTTTGTGTGCAATTGGCTTTTTTGCGGGAAGCGCTTCACGAGGTCGGACGAGCTCCAGCGCCACCTCCGGACCCACACCGGCGAGAAGAGGTTCGCGTGTCCCGTGTGCAATAAGAGGTTCATGCGGTCGGACCACCTCGCCAAGCACGTCAAGACCCACAACGGCAACGGCAAGAAGGGCAGCTCCGACTCGTGCAGCGACTCGGAGGAGAACAGCCAGAGCGACATCACCAACAACGTCAACTCGCCCGCATCCATGAACCAGACGCCGCCGCCGTCGGCGCAGATGCCGGGCTTGGACATGGTGACGGGGCTTGACGTCAAGCCCCCCGGCCTGGTTTGAGGCCGGTGGGGCCCTGCGCTGCTGTACCCAGGCTATCATCGCTAGCGTGAGGCCCCGATGTGATACGGACTTGTTTCAATGTTTGTACATATGTGAATGGACGGAGCTTTAGTTATCTTTTTGCTAATTATGAGAATTTATTGTATATAATATAAATATTTAAATATTTTACATGTGTAAGTGTCGGCAGAAGTAAGGTGAATGAGAAACGTGTTTCAGTGTGTCCACATATCAACGTTTTTTTTTCGACGGCTTTGTGTTTTGTACACTTAGGAATTTTCGAGGGTTCTATTCGTTATGGATACTGTTAAGGTTTTTATCATGTTTCTCTTTCCGCCAAAGAAGCTGTAATCCTGTAAATTTTATTGTAACTATATCTGTAAATTATTCTATAAGAGCTTTTGTGAACACGTTGACAGTGAATATAATTTTCAGTCTATTAAATGTCTTTCATTACAAATAACCCAGTGCACAAATCATTCAGCTGTATAAAACAGAATGTATTGTCGCAGCTACAACAGTTTTCGCCCAAATCAATAAAGGTAAGTAAAGCATTGTTATGACGTGATTTGAACAACTTCAACGTCCACAACTTTTTGTTAACTAACACTGTTACCCATTAATTTTTCAGTATGTGCTTCCCGTCTTAAATTCCCTCGGTAATAAATCTTCATTCTTCACTCGGGTAACCACCGCCCCTTTCTTCACATCACCCATAATCTATAAAGCATTAGTTTGTGTAACTTATAAATGTAACAACGCATTTGCTAACAGAATAAAAAATCTTTGCGAACTTGCTATCCTATTATTTACATATACTACTTTGAGACAGCTTACTTTGTCGTAAATTTATACGCTCAAAGTAAATATAATTCTTTCATTATTTTCCAGTTTTCTCTTGTCTTCACACATATAGATAATTTTTCCCTGCGGATTGTTTTCTTTTATCTTCTCCTCTAGTCTTCCCCAGGGCAGATTTCCACCTAAGTAATACGGACCCAGTTTGGTCTTTATCGTCAAGGGGCATATTTGTGAAAGTCTGTTCAAATAATTTCATGTATTCACAGTCAAAAAGAGAAAGAATTTTCAGGGGTTTAATCTACTTGAAGCATTTTCTGTCTGTCTATTATTTTTGGACACGTCCGTCTATGTTGAAAAAATTGCTCGAAGGTTATTTCGACAGAATTTCCTCGCCCCTGAAGTACAATGAATATATCCTATCCAGCTTCTTTGAAAAATTATAAAATTTGACTTGCGGATGTGTGTATATCAACTTGGATAGGTGCAATGTGACGCTAATAAATAATTTGACTCATTCATTTTTTTTTTAGTCACTCTGTATAAGTAATTCTGAAAAATATGAATGTAGTGATAAATTACAAGTATAAACTTATCATATTTTGCATATTTTCAGTAGGATTTATTCGGCAAAATTTTGAGATGACGTCGTCAGTTTTTAGATGGGTAGCAAACGAATAAATTTTGATTAACGATTTACCATGTTTCCTATAACCTATTTGCGAAGTTTTAGAGCATTCGGCTTTGCAATTTCAAAGTTAAATGGCGAAATGTTATACAATTTTACAAAAATTTGAGTAAAAACTCAACACAGATTCATAAACTGGAGAAGCATGTTATTTTATAAAAATTAAATACCATTTATTAGTGTTGTTAAAGTTGAAGATGATGGCATATCATTATTATTAGTGGGGATGATCAGACAAATTCTGGTTAGCATTTTACCATCTACACGATATTTTTAATATACCTACATGCAAAATTTGAACAATCGGTCCGGTAGTTTAGAAGATTATCTGTATAATCTAAATAAAATCTAAAATAAAAATCGACTCAGACACGGACAGACGGTAGACAACAGACGGCAGACAGACAGACGAAAACGAAAATTTTATGTTTTCGTTTTCTAGGGGTCATAAAACGTTGAAAAAATATGGAAGTAGCTAGTTATGGACTTGATTACAATACTTCCTTCTATTTAAACTGCAAGGTTCCCAATGCCTGTCGAAAACTGCCGAAAGAGTTGTGTTATCTTTCGAAAACTTTTGAGTAAGCTGAAAATTCTTAAAAGACTTCCGTCATCGTGAAATGACGTAACTTATTCAGTGTTGAAAAAAAGATCGAAGTTTATTTAGACAGAACTACACTCGCTCCTGAAGTAGAAGTTCAACAAATCCCGTTTCTTTGTAAAATTAGATTTTGCGATGTTTTTTGTTTGTGATAACTTGCATAAAATAAAAATGAGCTGCATAAATAACACCCTTGCAGGCCCTGCGTCATGGGGGCGGAAAATGGTCTCTCAGCAATAACAACAAGCTTTAACTTCAAGTGTTTGGAAGAATGTTACGTAGAAATTTGTTTGATTTGACTGAGGTTGTCGCCTCAAAACAGATGACTACAATTATTAATTAAACTACAGTTGAACAAAATCTTCTGAATATTATTATTATAATTCTTATTAAAAAGAGACGTGCGTATTCTCACCTTTTCCAGAAAATGGGGTTATACCTACGTTCTTAATTTAATCAATAAAAAAATTGTTAAGACTTCATAAACATAGATAATACACAGTGCGAGAGCAAAAGAGAAAAAACAAATGGCCAAGTTTGGCTTCGAACATGCGACCGCCGGTCCACATGCCCGCATGGCCACGAACTGTTATATCCTGGGTTAGTGGTAATATGTTAATATTTTTTTGTCAACATTTGGTCGTTTAGGGAAAAACTCAAAGCGGATTCGAACACCATATGTATAGGAGGGTATTACATATTACAACATTTAAATAATTTTAAAAAAGAATTGTTTGAAATGATGTCATCAAATTGTTGGTGGGGATGATTAGCCAAGTTATCGTTTTACCTCCTACATGATATTTCTAATACAGGGTGTTATTGAAGGGTAGGTACAACAAAATTGACAGTTCTTCGCGAAGTCTAATAAGAAGCCTGAAAAACTTATTGTGTTATCAATATTATAAGGGAAAAATTAACCCCTATAGACGCTACTGAAGCATAAATAAGTAAAATGAACTTATTTAAGTAAATCCTAGCAACTGTAACAATAATAAAATAATTCGTCGAAACTTGTTTCGACAAAAGTTTCCTCGCTCCTGAAATACAATGATAATTTTTTTGAGTTACCCTGTATACGCAAATCCAAAAAATATGAATGGAATGATAAATCACAAATACAGACTTATCACATTTTCTACATTTTAGGTAGGATTTATCAGGCAATCTTTTGAGCTGACGTCATCAATTTTTTGGAGGGGATAAGTGAATATATTTTGATTAACAATTTTTCATGCTTATTATAACTGCAAATCATCTGCAAAATTTCAAAGCATTCGGTTTTGCAGATTCCAAATTTAATTGCAAAATTTTGTTTCATAATTTTGATTTTTTTTCCAAAAATCTGGACGTTTCGAGTAAAAACTCAATTCGAAATCACAAACTACATGTTATTTTATACAATTTAAAACCCATTTACTATGTACAGTTTTGAAGTGACGTCATCACATTATTGGTGGGTATGAGTAAACCAATTTTGGTTAGCGTTTACCATCTACATGATATTCCTAATGTAAATACAAAATTTGACAATAATCGGCCTAGTACTTTCGGAGATTACCTGTCTAATAAAATTCCGGGACGGCAGACAGACGGACAGACAGACAGGCAGATAGACGGACAGACAGACGGACAGACGGAAACGGGAGACCTATTTGTTCGTCCTCTAGGGATCATAAAAGGTCGAGAAAATGTAAAAGTAGAGAATCGGCCGACGGATTCGTTTACAATACTTCCTTTGCTTACGCTCGGGAAGTAAAAATACGCGACCCTTCTGTTTCTATAGAAACGAAAGATGACCATTTTATCAGAGGCGTACAAGGAATTTGGACATAAATTTTAATAAGTTTTATATCTAAAAGAAGAACACTTTTACCTGAACTTTTTTTTAATTTTAGCACACATACTTTGAGACCAATTGCCGATTTTATTTTGTACGTACCTTTCAATAACACGCTGTATATCTAAATATTTTACAAAATTCGACAACAATCGGTCCAGTAGTTTCGAAGATTACGTGTTCAATAAAAATCATCTGTGTTGCCAGAAAAACACACAGACAAACGAACGGAAATGGGAACGTATTTTTCAAGCACTTGTTTAGATATTTTGCGTTCTGGGTCTGTATTTCTATCTTTTATACATAGTTAAACATAATTTTTAAGTGATTGTTTTTGAAAATTTCTAATACTGAACAATAATTCGACTCTAATAAGTGAACAAGTATTTTTTTTATATTCCTAAAAGTTACAACAGTTTTCGAAAATCTACAAGGATGTCAACTGCTTGCAAACAAAATAAAAAGATCCAACGATTCAATAATTTTTAGGTACAAGTTTCGCATAAAATAACATATTTATTACGATTCGGTTTCTTAGAAGTTTAAAAAAAATATTGTTCGAGTTACATTATTTATGCTTGACAAAATCATTACTGTTTCATGCAGTATACTAACCCCTGTATTTTTATCATCAACTATAAAAGTTGTGATAAGTTTTAGTCATCGTAGCTTGGCAATGGTTTTATGTCTTGATAAAAAATACTTTGTAACAGTTTCGTTATCTTTTCGTAGAATTACAACAAAATGGAAAATGTACCTTGCACTTTGATTAAATTTTAGTAGCAAAAAGTCCCTCGATAAGAAAAAACAATTTAAATGCACTAATGCCACATAAAATAGGAAAAATTATAGACCCGAGTTTTCCGATATCTGGTAATGGAAGTATTTATTTAAACCGGGTATAATTTACCCACGTAACACACTTTTTACATATTGACGTAACTTTGGAAACTTCCCATACTAACTTCTACGGTTTATTGATATCCGGAAGATTATAAAAGTGAAGGGAACACACATTTTTCCAAACGATGACAAACTTTCTTTTAAAATTACACAAACTAATTAACAGTAACTTTCGCCAAGAACAAATCTTACGTTGATCACAACAATCTTACTGTAGTGAGTTTTATTTAATTAAACCTCAAAACCGCTTCAATAGTATAAAAAGTGACAAAAAGCTCAGCGGTACGAGACAAGGATAAATAGAGATCAACCGCTGAAAGCTCTAAAGTGAATTGTTCAGCTCCCCGGAGTCGGTTTAATCAGGAGACCCCCGGAGTTTGCCTCAATTGAGCTCTGCTTAATGGAAACGAATAGTGCTCGTGTCGCATTGTTCAAATTATATCTACAATTCAAACCGCACTGCATGATTTCATTATCTGCGCTAATATCGTTTTACTGAACCGAATTTATCCGATTATCGAGAGGCAAACTGTTATTGTTGAAATTAATGGAAGACACACTCGAGTTGAATGAAGACTGATGATGA